GAAATGTTCACCAGTGAAAAGCTACAAAATTTGACCTTGACCCCTGACCCGATGACCTTGACCTTTGGTCAGTTGACACCTTGTTTAATTCTTATCAACTTTGCTTCATGATGTCATAACAAAATGTTCATCAGTGAAAAGACGTAAAATTTGACCTTGACCTTTGAACCTAATGACCTTGATCTTTGACCTTGATTTTTTACCTCAATGTGTATTTTTGTGAACTGAACATCTTGACCAAGTTTCATGTACATCGGTCAATAAATACTAAAGTTATCAGCCAGGAACAGAATTTGTGGACGGACAGACAGACAGACAGACAGACAGTGATTACTATAGGGCACCCGTATCTCCGATACGGGGCCCTAACAAGTCTATATTTCTTGCGAAACAACTAGAGATTTGTCTCCCCTTAAATGGTTTAAAAGTAACGGCCAAGACAAGATACCCCTGAAAACTTCGCACTTATTTGACCTTTGACCTCAAGGTCAAGGTCACGGTGACTGAACAACAGTGAACTGTACATCGTCCTGATGCAGATGTACTACAAGTTTTATCAGGATATCTTTAACTTAGCAATTATTTGACCTTATTATAAGAGGAACTGCCTACTGCTTAATTGTAAAATGCATATATATACAAGTTCTAATTGTAACGGGGACCATTACAGAAATCCTCAAAACTGACCCCATAGTTGACAGAAGTCCTCAAAACTGACCCCATAGTTGACAGAAATCCTCAAAACTGACCCCATAGTTGACAGAAATCCTCAAAACTGACCCAATAGTTGACAGAAATCCTCAAAACTGACCCCATAGTTGACAGAAATCCTCAAAACTGACCCCATAGTTGACAGAAATCCTCAAAACTGACCCCATAGTTGCAAATGATCCTTGAATAAAGTTAACAATGCCATCATATACTTGCAAACCAAGTTTAAGCAAAATTAGACGGCGAGGGACTGTTGGCATCACCTTGACTGTACCTTTAAAAGTTTGAAATAATCAGACTATTTTGACATTTGACCTTAAGGTTAATGCCACAGTGACCTAATGACATTGATTTGCACATCATATATAGGTCATGCAGTTATACTGCAAGTTTCATAAATCTTTAACAGTTAAAAAGTAAAAGTCTGGACAAGATGTTCCTGAAATAATTGCATATTTGTCCTTTGACCTTGGGATCAATTTCAAAATAACCTAATGACAGTGCACTGCACATTGTCTATGGGTGATGCAGTTATACTTCAAGTTTCATCAAGATATCTTTAATGATTTAAAAGTTACAGCCCCGATAAGATGTTTCTGAAAAATTTGACCATATTTGACCTTCGACCTTGGGGTAAAGAAGAACCAGTACTAATACAAATAGTAGATGGGGAGGCATAAAGTAGATAGCCTCTTCAAAGTACGTAGGTCAGTCATTCAAATGTTGACAGATAGTCAACAGATAATGTACAGACAATACAGCATACCTTACTTTATGCCAGATGCTAAACCATTGATAAGACAGCAATACATACAGAAGATATGACTAAACACTTACCCTGTCATATAAACTACTGGTTGATGCATTCTGTTGGCGGACAGACAACATAACGTCCCGTGTACACAGAGCTGTACTGTTGATGTCTTTGGAGATGTTTTTGAGAAAAATGTTAATTTCCTCTGAGATTGTCTGCATCAGCTCATTGAGGCATTTCTCTCCCCCGCCAACATCCCAGGTGTAGCCAACCTCAGCAGTCATAATGTACCCAACAGATGTCACTAGAACAATACACAGGTATATAGTTAACCTCCCCTAGTATAATGTACAGTACAGATGTCACTAGAACAATACACAGGTAAATAGTCAACCTTCCCTGGTATAATGTACCGTACAGATATCACTAGAACAATACACAGGTATATTGTCAACCTTCCCTGGTATAATGTACAGTACAGATGTCACTAGAACAATACACAGGTATATAGTTAACCTCCCCTGGTATAATGTACAGTACAGATGTCACTAGAACAATACACAACAACGTATGTACCTGATTCAGACATGAACATAAAATATATAAATCCTTAGTCCATACATTCCTCATAACCTGTGATCAGTGAAGTTAAGGTTACTACTGTGTGTATTAAATCTTCATACAATTGTCTGATCATATCTACTCAGGCAATGATATTTACAAAATATAAACAGATACAAGAAGGGCCATGTTTTAGTGTGTGTTATTCTTACCATCAGACAAACAGTAGAAGTAGTTTTCCTGGAAGTCCAGTCCATAGCTACAACCAAACTCGAGGCCCAGGTATCTGGAGGACTCAACTAATACACTGCTACAGGTGGGAAGGCTGACCCAGGTCTGGTTGAAGAATGTGAGGAAGTCACTAACCACCATACCCCCACACATACTTAAGTTCTCCTTCGTCACATTGATGGACACAGCCGATATCTCCAAAGTGAAGTTAATGCTGATCTAGAAGTTAGAGAGAGAAGGTTCATATTAAAGACTTATCAAAGAGACATTGATACGGTATATAATCTTTTTTTTTTTTTTTCCTGTTTCATTACTCAATTACATATCATCTTACTACTTCATGAATCATCACCTGTATCATCACACTACCTTACATATCATCTTACTACTTCATGTATCATCACCTGTATCATCACACTACCTTACATATCATCTTACTACTTCATGTATCATCACCTGTATCATCACACTACC